TCCTTACGAGAGAGACTTCAATGTTATTAGTTTTTGAGAGAATAAACTTGGGAATTCAGGATTCATATCTGCAACCTCCTTCACTCATCAAAAAACTATATGTTTTTTTATTTGTTGTTATTTTTAGCTTTCCCTGCTTCACTTCTATAAAATTCATCACATTGATTTCTTTTTAAAGGGCAGAAATAATCCATTGCATTCCTTCTGTTTTTTTTTTTTTGTTGATAAATAAATACTAGCAAAACTACTAGCTTACCTGTTGATACATAAATACTAGCAAAACTACTAGCTTACCTTTCTCAAATTTCTTTCTTTTTTTTTGCTCTAAAAGAATGTCTGCTAGCAAATTTTCGAAGGTCCCGCAAGAAGAACGACCGGGGCTGGTAGCTTCTTCTGCCCTCGTAACTCTGCGAGTCCAAACAAACTAATAGCAAAAAAACCGCAAAGAAACATAATGCATTTGTCAAATACCCAAAAAAAATCATAAAAAGGCATTCCAAACCTGAAAAATGAACCAGAAGACTGCATATTATTGCCCTGATTCGAAAGAAATTGCATCCAGTGGTATGCTTTCTAAGCAACAACAGCGCTGCAAGACTGCATATTGTTGAATAACCAAATTGTTTGATGACAAGGACCAAAGCAGGAAAAAGCAATGCATAATGTTGTACAAGAAAAACACATGAGGGCAAATGAGACACTGGGCAAATTTTGTAAACCATAGCTTATTTTGTTTGATGCATAACAATCATTACATTGATTTCTTTGTTGAAACAAGTATACTGGTGAAACTACTAGCTTCCCTTTCTCAAATTTGTTTCTAGTTTTTGAACCAAATGAATGTCTGCTCGCAAGTTTTCGAAGTTCCTGCAACAAGAACCACCGGGGCTGGCAGCTTCTTCTGCCTTTTTCTTCCATTCTATCGCCTTCCTTTTCATTTCTTTACCCTTTTCTCCCTCCATTAACTCTCTAACAAGCTTTTCAACTTGATCTCTATTAACATCAGCATTTATGTCCAAGCCGATACCCTATTTGTTGCATGCAAACCAACATTTGGTGTGCTGCTCTGCGAAAAATGGCCGACAAAGAAATGGAAAACAGGTCGACTCATCACCAACATTGCTGTCAGTCCTTATTATCCATAAGAAAGCTTTTTTTCTGTTGGCCAGACCCCAAGCCAATTCTAGCATTTTTGTGGTGGTAGAACAGTGAAGCTTCCAAAATTTACATACACCACAGATTAATTCGGTTCTTTTGAATCAAGCCATTCAGTGAAGTCTGATTGTTCTTTCCATAGATTTGAACAGATATAGTTCAGTCCATCACCTGTTATCTGATTATTAGCGAGCAAGTGGAGAGGACCGATTGCATAAATAGGAGGGAACATTGCTGTAAGAGCATCCAAAACCTCTTGTTTCCGAAGGACTCAACGTGTTCAAAATGATAGCTGTAGCTCTTGAACTTCTCTCGATTTTCCATAGGAGGAAGCTGACCATGATATCGTTTGGGTCCGTGGTTTTTTCCATACCTGGAATCCAATCTATAGTAGTTTCCAGGTACCCGTTCATTAGATAGCTGCAAATCACAGCAGACTTAGTGCAGTTCTGATCTCATTGGTTGAAGATTAAATTTTAAGCATGAAACAAATTCCATACCTTTTTCAACAAGAACACGGAACTATGTGTAGCCTAAGAACCCACAGGCACTATGTGTATGGAACAGCAGGTTAAGAATTCCAAATTCTTCAGTAGCATCAAGTGTGAAGGACATACCACCATCAGAAACAACACAGGTCACCGGCGGGACTTTGGGAGAGAAAGTACTGTCATTGAGCCTGTAAAGTAGATTGCGAAATGGAACCAAACAGTATTCTGCAGTGGATTCGCAGACTGAAGGGATGTCTTGGGTGGCATCAGATTCATCTGTCTCTGGAAGGCCATCAGGTATAGCTTCAAAAAGAAAGTCCGTTAAGCCATCCAGAGAGCTGGAACCTCTGGATTTGAGTATAGTCGTTCGTGGTTATACTCAGTATTGACAAAGGTTATGTGGAAGCCTTTAAAATGTAAGAGTTTTGCTAGCTTTATTAGCATTGGGTTATGTGACCCTGAGCTGGGAATGGTATGCAAACAGCATGAGGTTTAACAGTTACTTGATTGAAATCCATCTCCCTCCCTCTCTCTCTCAATTTGAGTGTGACATTTTACATTTATTGGAAGTGGGTGGAGCTCTTCACTTCTTTATAATTTATATGGTTAAATTGATTCAATCCATCAGTAAAAGGTAACATTTCTAACAAGCATATAGGACATGAACATTTCTGTAGTGAACCCACATATATGTCATGTCATTTTCTAGCAGGATATGATAGAATGAAGGGCTATTAGAACGTTCATCACGCCTGTATTTCTTTGAATTATTGAAGATAAAAAGCAGGACCAATGGGGCTAATTGAGCTGAATGTCCGGACGTGATAGGCTAAGACAAAAGACCAGCACTTCCTCGAAAAATATACATCATATACTTCATAACTTGATTAAAGGTGACTGATGCATCAAGTTTGCTTCGGTGGGAAGGAAAGAAGTGATCAAGCTGGCCTGAAACAGGATTTCCTGTAAGGTCTCTTCCTTCTAGTGTCCTGAGCAATTGGGTGACAAGAGTGAATCATTTTCCACATCACTTGTATGTCTGTATACTCTCCACAAGTCTCGAAGTCCTTGCCGAGGTTCATAAGCCCACGATTGTTTCCTGTCATCAAAATCATAAAAGAGTATAAGAAAACCAGATAAAACCAGAATTATCCTTCCTTGCTAGCTTTCTTTGTAAATAAACCCACACCAGTCCCCCACAGCCACAAGAGCTCAACACAAAGCAAGTCCATCTCAATATTCGAAGCCCAATTGCTCTTTACTTTGCATGTATCATGAAAGCGACGTGGTTGCAGAATACAAATGCTTCCATTTGACAAATACGTAAACGCAGGAGAAGGCATGAAGACATAGGGATTGATTCTAATGAGCTCAGTCTTACCTCTGCTTTTGTGCCTTGAGCTTGAAGCAAGCTTCAAAAGAGTAGACTTAGCAGAGAAGACAAATCTTTGTTTGAACCATAGCCAGCTTCTCCACTTCTCCATCTTCACCTACGATCTGCCCATTCTTCACTTCCATTTTATATCTATATTATTCATTTTTGTCCCTGCTCTCCTTGCTAATACTTTAAACTGAGGCAAGCAGTCAAATGAATCCGACACATCACAAACCAACATCTGTGAAGACAAGAGAGTCTACCTGTAGATATTTCTGTTTTTCTAATGGTTACTACCTTTTCCTACTTCTTTTAAATAATACTAGTAGATGATGGTATCTTAAGTCACACTGAGTTGCGCATTATTTTACTATCACGCTTGATTAAACGACTCTCATGTACCTAACTAAATGTTTATCTCATCAAGATCATATAACTTAATCTCTAGGAATTAAGCAATATTTTCATCTACAGAATTGCCGTTCTTAAATCATGTAATGCAGATTAGAAAGAATCAGTGATGATGATGATGATGATGCAGTAATATGGTAAAGATAGAAGTACTTAATGGGAAGAATGAACAGTTAGTGGGCAAGAAACTTTGGAGCTTCCCAATCCATTTTTTCTCTGACGAAAGATTTTCATCTCTGTGGAAGCGGTGATGGGGCCATGGTCAAACGGTTGGTTGGTGTTTCCTTCTGTACCTTAGTGATGCGTCTACACCTCCCCACCTGTCTTTCTCTCCCACGCACACAGACCAGGACAGTAAAGCTCTGTCCATTACTGATGCTATTAGATTAATGAAATGTTGAGCAACCAATGAATTCTGATGGGCATTAGTCACCTGGAAAGAGAGTTCTTAGAATATGATTAGGGTTAATGGGTTCTCTTTGCGTCGCTTTCAAGGCTAGGCTTAATCGATTGGTGACCTTGCCGAGTGATAAGACTGAGACACGCATGTGCTCTGCAACCATTACTAACGGTGCAGTCCCTAACCCTAACTGCCTTCATTGACACTTTACCAACTCTAATCCACTACCCAATCTTGTTCTCTTGTGTATTGTTCACTACAGAAGTGAGTTTTAGCTCTGAAGATATCTTCACATACATCAAATGCTGCATTAATTTTTTCTTCATATTTAATTATTTTTTAATAAATAGTCTCTCATACGAGTATATTTTCGACAGTTTAGATGAAAAAATAGGATAAAAGGATAGATTGAATGATGACCCGAGCGACATAAGGGACGTAATTATATTTGCAAAGAGGGATTGCAAGATTAGCCTAAAATATAGATCAAATTAAGCTATTTCCCTCTTTTTTGAATTCTCTGTTTCTCAAGTTTGGTTAACGTGTTAGGCTTTGCTCACATGACTAAAGATTTTCCCTTGAAGACTAGCCAATTTCATCAATTTAACGCAAAGCTTTTCGATGTGCTATTGACATGGCGCTTTGCAACCAACCATGGCATTGCATTGTACACTAGAAAATTGCCTTCACTGACATTTTGCCATCCATCTTTGTTTTGATAGTGCAACTCGTGACAAACAGGCCCCCGATATCACCCAGCTCAATTCCTCTACCCAAGCTTGCTACACGAGAAGATTGATCCATCTTTATTTTGATAGTGCAACTCGTGACAAACAGGCCCCCGATATCACCAACCCTGTCAAATGCTCCGAGAAAAACTGCCGGTTTCAGGGCCCGAAAATGGTTGTATGAGGTATGATCTGGTATAGCCAGCTTGGAAACTTAAACCATGTCAAGAAATTAAACTGAAATCGCTTCAGGGTTCTCATTACCATCAAGCTGGCAAAAAGGACACCAGAAAGGTAGTCGAAGTGAAAATCGCAGTCCTCCATCCCTGGTAATAATTTCATCGAGCATTGAAAGCATTTCTAACGGATAACAATTTCCAAGCACCACCTGGAGCAAGACCTATTTGACAATCCAAATCTACATAAAAAACATCCAGATATTGTTCACGGAGAATAATAAAATTAACCTAAATTTTAGTTGACACAAACAGGCAAAAACAGATTCCACAGGATGTGTTCTTGATGCTACAGAAAATCTCATGCATGCTTTTTAAAATGTATCCCAGCAGTAAAAATTGAAATGTAAAAGCAAACGTTGTTCAAAAAAGTGCACTAAATTATGCAAACACAACATTCATTCTATCATTAGCAAAACATAACTGGCCATAAAATGCCAACGAAAATTCATGAACTTCATGCAGCAGCCTGAGATGCTGCAAGCCTCTTCTTAGCCTCCTCGATGATAGACAATTTAATACCCTTGCCCTTGGGAAGAGATATCCATGGCTTGGAGCCCTTTCCAATGGTGAACACGTTGCCCAGGCGAGTGGCAAACTCATGGCCAGTGGCATCTTGAACATGGATTGTCTCAAAGCTTCCCTTATGCTTCTCCCTGTTCTTAATTACTCCAACTCGGCCTCTATTCCTTCCTCCAGTGACCATGACAACATTTCCCACATCAAACTTGATGAAGTCAACTATCTTGTTACTCTCTAGATCCAGCTTGATGGTGTCATTGGCCTTAATGAGGGGATCTGGGTAGCGAATGGTGCGCCCATCATAGGTGTTCAGATAAGGGATTCCTTTCTGCCCAAACTGAATTGACCGAACTTTGCAAAGCTTGAACTGCATAAGAATTAAACAACAAACCAAATCAATACCTGCGGTAATACCACACAAGCCATGAAAACATAAAATAAAATTCACTGATCCATCCAAATTAGTGCATGGTCCAGTAAAACAAAAATATCATGAATCAAACCAAAGAAACCACAGAGTCAAAAGAATCACAAACCTTAGCCTCGTCATCTCTGAGGGAGTGGAGCCTGAAGCGGCCTTTGGTGTCATAGAGGAGACGGAAGCTCTCGTTTGTCTTTGGGATTGACACAACATCTGTAGTGGAGAGCAAAACCACGCAACAAACAAGGATGAAGAATATATAATTTAAGGGGTAAAATGAATAGGAAATGATCATGCAAGTGAAAAAGGTCAGAAAGGGACAATAGTATCTTATCAAACTTAAACAACCATTTCCAATCAAGCAGAAAAGAAAGCTGGCAGCAACAAAGAGCTCTCACAACCTATCACACTCAATGACCACTTAATACAAGCATTAACTAAAAGCTAGCAGGCAAGGGTTTCTTACTTCTTACAACCTAAATCATATAACATGATCATTTGCCAAAGACCATTTTGCGGCGCTGTAGGGTTCAATCTATTAATAACATCATGGCCACCAAAAAAACTGTAGAAAAATCAAGTTCATTCATTCATTTCAGCCAGGAATATAGGTGATGAAAGCTTCCCCCTTTACTATATCAAGCCAATCTAAGCATTGCAAATAAAAACCGAACTCCCATTTTGAAGATTCACATTGAAAAAAAATCATAAAACTGGTAGAGCAACGACATAATTAGAGAAGAAAAACATCAAACTTGAAAGAGCAAAAGCACATACCCATGAAACCAGATGGGTAAGTCTTATCTGTCCTAACCTTCCCATCAACAAGAACATGTCTCTGCATCAAAATAGCAATCACTTCACGGTATGTCAAAGCATACTTGAGCCTGTTTCGCAGAATGAGAATCAGAGGCAAGCATTCCCTAGACTTGTGGGGTCCGGATGAGGGCTTGGGGGCCTAAACGACACAAAACCAAACAAGTTACACTCAAGGACAAACAACACCAAGCAACAGGGAAACCATTGACATTGCAATAAAGGGGTCTGTCAGAAATTGTTAACATACAAAAGCACCACCAAGTTTATCAAGCATCCAATGTTTTGGAGCATTAAGCCTCTTCAAGTGCTTCTTCAACCCTCTAGCCTGTAATGCATCACAAAAGCCGAAAGATCAATTAAACCAGTGCAAGAAATAGAAATAACAACAAGAAGATTGATGAAATCAGGAGAACATAAGCAAGATCTGAGATCAATATGCTAAAAAAGCTAAAAAAGCTGACCATTTTGCAACTGTATAACTCAAGATGTTGGTGACTCTGCTGGGCTGCGCCTACCTTCTGCTGCTTAGAGAGATGCAAAAACCCTACTTGTATCCTTTTAAAGGAATGTCCCTTGTTATTGAATCCGAGTTTATCCGGGTCGGGTTGAGGTATCGTTACGGGGCCATGGGTTTATTGGACTCTTATTGGAACCCTAGTATTTTATACATCAAGCCATGTCATTATTAATTCAAAAAACAAAAGAAGTGGTTAAATTACCTTCATAGAAATAAAATATATATATATAATACTATTTATTAGTTTTTAAATTTTACCTTTTAAAAAATTAATTTTTTCATTAATTTTTTTATTTCTTTATTTAATATTAGAGTATGCTTAGATATTATGTTTCATAATTTTTTTCTATTTGGTTAACACCGGTTTCTTGGATTTTATTTTTTTTCTTGATATTAACTTTTAATATTAGATTTTTTGAAAGTATGGTATTGTAACTGTTTTATTTATTTTTTTATGAATTTATCTCAATCTTATGATCTGGATCGCAAGTTTGGTAGATTAGTCGATGTTGACATAAATTTCAATTTAGGGTTTATACAAAACAATTTGAGGAAAATGCAAATTGACCATGAATTGATAAACTTTTGTTGTGTTGGATATCAAATTTAGTGAAATCATCATTTTGTCCCATATACAACGTCACAACAATTGTCCACCCAGGTCGAGATCTCTCTAGTGATGAGAGGAAAGAATAAGAAATTCTTATTTCTTATCAGTAAAAAAAAAAATGAAGTCTTCACCTGGTATTTTGGTTATTAAGAACTCTATCTAATCTCAAAGTCTAGATAAAAGGATTGATTGTGTACAGGAAGGAAGACGTATCACTCTTAGTACACCTTATCTAAGGCAAGCTACATAGTTTATTTATCTAATACAAATTAAGGTATTATTGTATTTTTTAACCGTTGGTTTATCTAAGATTTAAGAAGTTCTTTTCG